ACAGATCGGTTCGCTCTCCAAAGATGTGGCTCCTGGTTTTCCCTCTCCTGCCTCCTCCCTCACAAATATTTGGAGTTACGCTCCCTGTGTTCCTCTCCAAGCCGCTGGTTGTCCTTCCCGTAATGGAGTGACCACAGTTATGGCCTCTGCTCCCCGGCTGTGTTGTGCCAGAGTAACCTCGGGTTGATTTATATTCCGCGCTCCTGGAGAAACACCTGGGGGACTTGTTTACATTTTGTTTCCTCGCCAAAAGGGCCGGGCAGAGAGTTTGGAGGTGTGACTCACGAGCAGCAGGATCCGCATTTAGTAAAAACTCTGGAGGAGGAAAGAGAGGAGAAAGACAGCAAAGGGAAGCCTCACCCTGGACAATCCTTATGCAGCCGAATTTAGCTTTTAAGAGCGATTGATGTATCTATAGACCAACTTTCTCCCGATAAGGGGACCTGAGCAGGCTCACAGTACAGTATTAAAAAGAATAGAATTTAAAACATGTTAAACATTTTTTGTTTAACAAGGGACGTGGTGGCGCTGCGGGTTAAATCACAGAAGCCTCTGGGCTGCAAGGTCAGAAGACCAAGCAGTTGTAAGATCGAATCCACGCAACGGAGGGAGCTCCCGTCTCTTGTCCTAGCTCCTGCCAACCTAGCCCTTCGAAAGCATGTAAAAGTGCAAGTAGATAAATAGGTACCACCTCGATGGGAAGGTCACAGCGTTCTGTGTCTAGTCGCGCTGGCCACGTGACCACAGAAACTGTCTGCAGACAAATGCCTGCTCTACAGCTTGGAGACGGGGATGAGCACCGGGCCCTAGAGTCGGACACGACGGGACTTAATGTCAAGGGGAAGCTTTACCTTTACCTAAACATTTTTTAAAAAAAAACCAATTAAACTATACACTAATTAAAATACAACTGAATAATTAAAAACACGTAAACTTTTTAAACTATCTTAACTTGAAAAACTTAAATGTTTCTCACAATGGCCAGCCAACAGACGCTTCTCTGCAGCCTATAAGCTGAACTGGAAAACGTGAAGCTTCTCTCCGTTTTCCCGTTTTCCCTGTTAAACAAAACCGATCTCCCCAAACACTCCTAGCAGCTGTCTCTCCTTAGAAGTGAATTTGCCATTCCCCTCATCCCGCACCCCAGTATACCAGAGAGGGGCTGGTGCAGCATTGCATGAGAGTCCAGTCCTAATATTGAACTCAAAAGACACCCGAGTGCCAAGCTTGTATATAGGTGGTGGGTGGGGCACAGTGCTTCAGATAAAGACCCTGAGGCTCAGAAAGGCGGAAGGTAACAGAAAGAGAGGAAGATGAAATGTGAGATGAACTAACTCCCTCAAGGAAGACCCAAGCTTGGGTTTGCAAGAGCTGAGCGAGGACTGCAAAGAGGAGCAGCTTCAGAGGTAGAAAGGAATCACAGAGATGTACTTTGAGGCTGGGGTGGGGTGGGGGGTGGAACCTTCCAGAGAGATTTCCTAACAGGGCAAAACGTTAAAAATTTCTGGGATAAAAAAAATAATAAGCCCACTATTTGTTCCATGCTTAATCGGCCCATCATATAAACCACTCCAAACGAGGCCAGTGCAGTTCATCATTCCAAGTTTGTCAGAATACGGTGCATAACACCCATCTCTATGAGCCAGCATTCTTGGAACAGAGTGTGTGCTACTTTATGGCATGATCTGAGCTAGAAACATCCGTGACACAAAAAGAGAAATGCTTCATCAAGACAATTGAGCTTGTGTCCCCCAACCCCCCCAAAAATGTTTTTTAAGATCATATTTGAAATTTGGAGAACAGTAATCCAGAGGTCAGTCAGTTAGTTCGTTTTTTGTTCATTCATTCGTCCGTTCATTCATTTGTCCATCTGTTTGTTTATCTCATTCATGGGTCTTCTTTCTCAAGGCGGCTCACAGCATTAAAAAGAGCAGAATTAAAAACACCGTGGAAGATACGTTTAAAAAATAATGGAGGCATAAAACCGATCCAAGTGTGTTGAATCGTTAAACGGGTGAAACAGCCACAGCTTTGAATTGCTTCAAACATATGTTGGGGAAGCAAAGGCTCCTGGGCTTCGGTGGGGTTCTCCAAGATCTCGGGTTCACCCCGAAAAGGAGAAGGCAGTCAGCCACAAACGGCAGAGAAAGGTGTTCTTGTCCGGTCGTCGGTTCCCTCAGCAGCCGGAGGGAGAAACAAACATTGGAGAAGCCAATGTCGGCCTCCACGGGTGGTGAGGGGCGATGTTCTCGTCAAGCATCTTGATCGTCCAAACACTGCCTTCCCGGTAACATCCCAGAGTGGGAAGAGGCAACGGTGGGTGCCAAGCCGACTGTGCCCACTGCGTGTGTGTGGACAGTAGGAACAGTTTGCACAAGGTTTGCCAAGAATGCCTGGAGTATTTATGGAAACCTCATCCCGGTGCTCCTGTCCAGCAGGGTCTCTGAGGGCCTGCTCTTACCTTGTTTCCAAGCAACTGGGTCTGCTGGGCAGAAAATGCACCTAATGGTTGTTGTGGGTTTTTCGGGCTCTTTGGCCGTGTTCTGAAGGTTGTTCTTCTTTACATTTCGCCAGTCTCTGTGGCCGGCATCTTCAGAGGACCGGAGTCAGAACTCTGTCTGTGCTCTGGTGCAGTTTGTTTGGATAGTTGAGTATTTATAGCTGTGGGATCAGCTTTTGTCCTTTTCAGGAGATTGGGTGATTAGGGTGATCAGTATGTTTTTTGTGTGTGGATGGATTGTTGCGATAAGAGGGAGAGATTATCTGTCACTGTGGTTGATGGGTGTTGTTATGTGGTCTTTTCTGTGCAATGATCAAATGCAGCTAATGCAGCTAAGTCCGTTCATTCCCCTTCTGCCAGATTTCTTGGACTGCTAGAGCATCTACTTAGTTAGTCAGTTAGTTACTTTCTTTATATCCTGCCTTTCTCTCAATAAAGGAACTCAAGGTGGTCTACATCTATTTAAAAATGCATGTAGGAAATCGCAATAAATTAAGGCATTGCGCTTGAAAGAGGATTAAACCAAATGAAGCTGGATGAATAACTCAGGGGTTGATGTCTCTGGCTGCAGAGCTAGAAGTTGGGAGTTCGATTCCCCAGTATGCCTCCTGAGAAAAAAAGCCAGCCTGGGTGGCCCTGGGCAAGCTACACAGTCCCAGGGTACCCCCAGCGGGAGGGAATGGGAAAGTATGCTTGAGTGCAATAGAACCCCCTATCCACAGGATCAGAATCCACTGATTACCCGCTGCCTGAAAATGCAAAATAAAAAACCCCAGAAGTACATATTTACCATATTTTTCCATGTATAAGACGCACTCACTTTTCTAATCCAAAATTAAGAAATCTAAGTGGGGTTTAGCAAGTGGAGGGGGAAAGGGATCAAAGCACTGTAGGATCACTTTGATCCCTGCTTTCCCAAGCCCTTGTTTTTGTTCTCTCCTCAGCTTACTTCCATATATAAGATGACCATCAATTTTTAGTCTAAAGATTTTAGACAAAAGTATAGTCTTGTATACAGAAAAATACAGTATATTATTTCCAAAGTGTATTTACCAGAGGTCACTACTAGAAGGAGCCAGAGACCATGCAATGTATAGTGTTTGATGCATCCCCATTTTTCGGCATCTACAGGGGAGTGTATGGCCGATTCTGAAAAGAGTTGCCATAAGTCAGAACGGACTTGACAGCACATTATGATTTCCAGTGTGGTGCAGGGGATAGAGTGGCAGACTAGAACTCCGGAGAACAGCCATGGAATTCACTGTGTGGGGGAGGAGAACCATGCAATGTATAGTGTTTGATGCATCCACATTTTTCAGCATCTGCAGGGGAACGTATTGACCGCACATTACGATTTCCAGTGTGGTGTACGGGATAGAGTGGCAGACTAGAACTCCAGAGAACAGCCATGGAATTCACTGGGGGGGGGGACTGGTAAACCCACTCCTTAAATAATCTCACTTACCTTGAAAGCCCTTTGAGTGTCACTAGAGGTCCGTTCCCGCACGATGGCACAGAACACACACATCAACCAAATGAATGTTAGAAACATCATTCGTTTGGAAAGTTAAAAGAAATTTAAAATATCTGTTTAAATGAAAAGTTACTGTATCATCCTTTTTTAACAATACCATCCTGCAAGGGCATACAATTAGAACAGAAATCTCACAGATCCTAACAGAACTCTCTACCTCACATCCGTTGCTTGAAATAAAAATAAAAAAAGGCAACACCAAGTTAGGTGTTGGCTTTTCCCTAGTGATCTTCCCAGAATTTCCGCCCAAACTGTCAAAAGAAAGCTGTTAAATCTAGCAAAAACATCTTAAGGAAAGGTATTGGCCGTAGGTTGCTGGCAGTAACATTTCAAGAAGAATTGGAATCATCTCAGTGGAGTGAAATATCCACAGCATTTGAAGAAACATAAACTACAGCATGGATGTAAATAGTTGCTACTAATGTAGCCGTGTATAACTAGTTGTTTCCAAGGGTAATGTATATGTTACAAATAACATGTTCCATTGAAAGTAACATAGTAAGTTGTTACTAAGTTACTCTGGACGTAGTGAGTAACATTATGTAATTACTTTTGGTTTAAATGCATGTCAACTGGAAATGTATGCTTCTCCGTTTAATCTTTTGCGTTTTAGCCAGTTCGTTTAAATGCAATTTTAATTCCTCATTATGTTTGTAGTATTAGAAATTGAAAACACAAAATAAATATGTAGATATTTTCAAGGTGCAATATCAGAATTAGACACTAGAGGGAACTAGGCATTTTGTTCTCTCTGCAGATCTCCTGCCTCCTGGTAATGACAGTGCAACGCTTTAGCAACAGAGAGCAAAAGGATGATCTATGCAGTGAGAAAAAACAAGTTCATTTAAAAATAAATACATACCGTCCCAAGATCAGAGGCAAAGCAAGTGTTTGGATAAAGCTCACAACATACCTCCTTTGAGACTGGTGTCTACAATACTTCCTCTTTTTTCCCCCACCTTGCAGATGGATACTGTGTTCCTGAATGGGACAACCTTATTTGTTGGCCAGAAGGCGCCCCTGGAAAGCTGGTTGCGGTACCCTGCCCGGATTACATCTATGACTTCAACCACGATGGTAAATCCCTCATGTTCGCGCAGATCCCCTCCCTCCGCTAGATAAGCAGAACGTTTTGCGGTAAGGCCCAGGCACCGGGTCTCTGAGAAAGGCAGGGAAACAGGCGCGCGGCTCATTTCGATTTACCTGCCCAAAAATCTCTTGTGATGCAGGTCTCAGGTAGGAAGAGGTCAGCTGACCAGGTCAGCTAAAGAGGGCTTTTAATTCTCATCTCGTTTTTCCTTAGTAATGGCACCAAGACATCAACATTAATCTGAGGCCCTCTTTCAGAAAAACAAAGAAAAAGACCCTTAGCATTGGGCAGGAGTGGCGGAAGGATTGAGTGAAATGTTTTGACCTCATCTGATACCCATTTTCATGAGTGTAGGGGGGCGGGGAAGCATTATAATAACACCGGGAGAAGTGGAAGGCTGCAGGAAATGAGGAAGACGGAACATGAGCCGGACTAACTCTATAAGGAAGCCACAATCTTGAGTTTTCGTAAGAGCCGTAAGGGGCATTTTGGAGATAGCTCCTTCATAGGCTCATTTATGGCCGATTGCTAAGAAAAACACAAACAACCCATCCAGTGCTTCACCATCCCTGGGATGCCTGAGAAACAGCCATTGTCGTCGTATTTTTACACCATGTTTCAATTTCCATAAATTGTCCAATTTTTGCGAATTGCGCAGATTTGTGCAATCTCCCACTACAATCATCGGGTGATTTCTATGCTCTTGCCACTGAGAAGAGAATCAATTCCCAGCCTTTCTGTCAATGTAAAGAGGCCAGTTCCTCTGCAGTGGAGGGGGGATTTGTATCCCTGTTTATCCTACAGAGCTTATGACCAGAACTGGGAAATGCTCACCCCAAAACGCTAGGGCAAGGGTAAACGCTTCTATGGCTCAGGCCAGTAGCCTCCACTAGGCCTCGCTGCTGTTTCTCTCCCTCTCAACGCTTCTTTTCCCCTCTCCTTAGCCCACGCTTACAGGCGCTGTGACCTGAATGGAAGCTGGGTAGTGGCCCCCAACACCAACCGCACCTGGGCGAACTACAGCGAATGTCCGAAATTCCCCATCGATAACGGGGAAAAGGTGAGCAAAATTCGCCTCCGTCTCTCGAGTGTTTGGAGGGTTGTGTCTTTGCACTCAGCCGCCTGAGCAAGGCCTCAGATCTGTAGCCCAGGGAGCTCTGCCGGCCGTGGCAAGACCGAAGGTCCAGGCAACCATCTCCTCACCAAGCTTAGAAAAGTTATTTATTTAATGATATCCCCAAATTTCCCTGAGTCAGTATAAAGAGAGATAGCTGGTGATGGCAAATGTTTGTTTCTCAAACAACATCGGAAAAAGAAATTTCATATATTTTTTTAAAAAAAATAAGAAACTACCTATATTTAAAAAATCTACTACTCCCAGATTCCCATTGGGTGCTGGGAGTGGTAGTTTGGAGAGGGTAGGACCTTCCCCACTTGTGATTTGGATTTTATTTATTTATTTGTTAGACTTTTATGCTGCCCATCTGGCTGCTAAGGCCACTGTGGATGGTTTACGCATTCAACAAATATATCATCATGCCATTTTGGACAATATGATTATTCTGGCTGGGGGATTCTGGGAGAGGTAGTGGGGAAAAAACTCACGAACAGGTAGACAACAAGAAGAAAAGAAGAAGGATATCGCCACATGGGGTTCTACCACCAAATGATGGTCTCTCCCATCCTACGTCATGGGTGAAAACCGTGTGACCCTCCAGCTATTTTGAAGCTATAACTCCCAACAGCTCAGTGGTTTAGACATTGGGCTGTGGATCCAAAGGTCAGCGGTTCGATTCCCCACTGTGCCTCCCAAAAATCTGGTTGTACGGCAAAAAAGCTACAGCAGTTGAAAAGCCTGGAGTAACACTCCCAGAAATGCACTGGCTGAAATAAACAGTGTTTCTAACATCTGTTTTGAAAGCTATTGAGAAGAAGAGAAGTTATTTGTGGCCACAGTCAGCCTTTGGGAGGCGGGTTTTTCCCCAAAAAAGTAACTTTCCCCATCTTCTCGCATCCTGGAGAAGCCAATGTGAAATGTCTTGTCCCGTTTTGCCTCTAGCGGTGATCTTTACTATTTTGGAAAAGTCAGATATTTCATATCCTGAACCTTGACACTTAGGTGTGGTGATCAGAGTTGTTTGGAAGTTTATCATTCGCTCCCACAAAATTTTGCATGGAATTGAGGGTCGATGACAAGTACAAGCTGATTCGTCTCCTGAAAGTCCCACCTTATTTCTGCAAAATAATGCACCTCATTATTTTTTATCAGGATCCCGCCACCACTTAAGCAGCAGAGCACAGAGTTAATTCACGTTTTTCATCCCTTCGCTTATTACATTCATTCCCTTAAAAAGAATTGTAGAATATTGAAGTTGGAAAGGGCCTCTAAGGCTATTGAATCCAACCTCGTGCTCAAGGCAAGAATCAAAGCAGATCTGACAGAGGGTGGTCCCGTTTTGTCTTGAACCCCATCCAGCGTTGGGAGCGCTCACCACTTCCCCTTGAGGTCACAGGTTCCATTGTCATACTGCTCTAACAGTTAAGATATTTTTCCCTATATTCAGCTGAAATTTGGCTTCTTGTAACTTGCGCTAATTAGGGTGGATCCTACACCCTGGGATGACCAAGAACAGATTATGCCCTTTCTTTGGATAACTACCTTTCAAGTCTTTGAAGAGTGTTATCCTGTCTCCTCTCAATCTTCTTTTCTCCAGGCTAATCATAGATTGTGTGTTTCTTACAGGAGGTCTTCTACCGCCTCTATCTGATCTATACCGTCGGCTATTCCATCTCCTTGGGGTCCCTGACCATTGCAGTCCTTATTCTAGGGTATTTCAGGTAAGGAGTTCCAATTCTCTCTCCATATTTTTGTTTCACTGTGTGCTGGATTTAAGACAACAAGGTTTTAGAGACCTGAACTCTGAATTCCTGTACTCTGAATTCTGCAATTCTTCCACAAAGCCCCTGTACTTCCCATGGGACTTTGTGGAACACCCCCCCTCCCCTTGACAATGGTGTCCTTTTTCTGATACATGGGGCCGAAGAAATGCACACAGCTTAAGATTTGTGGGGGTTGCAAGTTTGTCCTCTTGTTTGTTCTGGGTGTGTGTTTTTTAAGGGCAAGCTTGAAACATTTATTACGGCGTTACCCAGATTCGTTTGCAAGCGAGCCCCGTCAAACCGTGGAGGTTGGTAGACGCCATCCGATGTCACGGAGTCAACACTCTCGGGGTTGAAGGTTTTGAGAGGTTCTGCTGCAAATGTTAGCCATGGGAGAAGACAAAAGCACTCCTTCTCTTCCCCCCCCCCTTTCTCTTTCCTGATTCAGGCGCCTGCACTGTACAAGAAACTACATCCACATGCACCTCTTCGTCTCCTTCATGCTCCGAGCCATCAGCATCTTCGTGAAGGATGCCGTCCTCTACTCCGGCTCCGCTCTGGAAGAGATGGAGCGGATCTCGGAGGAAGACTTCAAGACCATCACCGAGCTGCCTCCACCGGACAAGTCATCCCTGGTGAGTACCCCTTCGAGCGGCAGTTCCCGTTCCCCTAAGTGGCTGAGTTCTCCGTTGGGCCTCCCGTAAGCGTTTCTATGTTGCATCCACACAAGAGTTGACCACAAACCCAACAAAGATTCCCGGGGCAGCTCCGAGGCGATCAGATTTCTCCCCGCAGGAGCTGTTGGAGACTGTAAGCTCATCCCACGTACTGTAAGCAACCCAGGGAGGAGATCATGGCCCTTGCGCCCTGCTTACAGAGTTCCTGGAAGCACACAGATGCTCTCTGTTGGAAAAGGTGGATACCACCCAGTACCTGCTGATCGTGTTTCATTCCAGAAGCTAAGCAGGGTCAGGCCGGGTTAATATTTGGATGGGAAGCCAGAAGGGAACAGCAGGCATCCCCAGTGAGACCTTGGAAAGAATTCTGCTCGTAACTTCTGCCAACCAGCATTGGCAAAACCGGAGTAGACAGGCTCACAATCTAACTCTATATAAATCCATTTCTCATATTCCTGGTCCTATGGTCTGGTCTCCTCCTCCTTCCTGGGGTGACTTCCTTCAGCCTCTTTGAGCTCAGCTCTTTGTTACCGTCGACCTGCCATTAGAAGAGGGTGTTCCTTGAGTGCTGATGGTGTGTAGTTGTCACAGCAGGGGCATTTCGCAGGTTTTGTTTTGTTTTTTAAGTATTTTATTATTTCAAGGTTTTGTTTTGAGGTCGGTCTTCCGGACACAAGCAGGTGCTCTGTTTTTGAGCCTGTTTCTCAGACCTGGAAGTCCTCCTGAATCACGTCTCCGGAACACTAATGTCATGCCCGGTTATTGAGTTTGACCCTCAGTCTTCTCCCACCCTCCGTTGCCTCCACATCCATGCCCTTCCCTAATTCATACAAGCGTCAGAAATGTGTTAGATCCAGCCCTCTCTCATCACGGAGATTCGTTCTGGAAGTTATCGAAGTTGACCCCACGAACAAATGGCCTCCAAAATGACCCATCAATGACCCAGCAGCCCTGCTGGGCTCTTGCAAACTGAAGCCTGTGGCTTCCTTGAGGGAATCTGTCCATCTCATATTTGGGTCTTCCTCTCTTCCTGCTGCCTTCCACCTTTTCCAGCATGATGGTCTTTTTCCCCCCGAGAATCCTGCCTTCTCAGGATGGGCCCAAAGCCTCAGCCTCATCCTTTTTGCCTTGTTCCCGGGGCCATCCTGTAGAGAAATCTTAGGTATAGACAACTGCAACAACTGTGAGGTTGTAAACCCATCTCGATTCCCTCTTTCCTTCCTGTTCCGGCAGTCCCTGTAAGCACCTTAGAGCAGGAAATATATTTCCTTATACTGTTCTCTTAACGTACCATGCGCATTGGCAGTGCTACATAAATTATAAAAAAAACACATTATTTTATGGCCATCGACAAAGGCACAAGAAACACCCAAGACTGTACGAATCTGCCTTTTGTGGAGTCAGACAATGGCTTCGTTCAAGAGGAATACTACTAGCTTTGATGGGCAGCTGGTCCAAGGTTGGGGCCCGGATTCTTCCCACCCTTGCCTAAAAACGCCTGGATAGGTCTCTGATGGCCTCCCATCCTTTTTCTGACCTGGCTGTGTTATGCTTAGCTTCCAAAACCGGCCAAGAGGAAGTGCCGTTAAGTTCAAGGTAACGAACGGGTGGCGGTTGTGCTTCACCACTAGGTGGCACTGTGCCCCACTTCAGATTCAGCTCCCTGGCCTTCCAGGCAAAGCTGGGTCTCCCCTTGATTTAATGGACCCTCTTTCCCCGAAAATACGACAGGGTCTTATATTAATTTTTGCTTCAAAAATGCATTAGGGCTTATTTTCAGGTGTTTAATTTTTTTCATGTACAACCATCTACATGCTGCACACGGGTGGAGGACGGGGGTTTCACTTCACTGGGGCTTATTTTTGGGGTAGGGCTTCTATGACGAGCATCCTGAAAAATCCTACCAGGGCTTATTTTTAGGTTAGGTCTTATTTTAGGGGAAACAGAGTAGTCCCTGGATAACCAAACATAACTTTTCATTTTCACTCAGAAATGCAAATGGTGTTTCATGGGATCAAGCCCACCCCCATGCATGGACAGGCAGGTTTAAATGTCTTGCCCAGATGGCTTTCCTGCCTCTAAATTGACAGTCCCACAATCTATTCTGCAGCGGTTTAAAAAACCCTGCTGTTAAAGCCCCCCCCCCAAATAGTCCCGTCCCCCCCAGGGAGGACGATTCAGTAGGCAAATCAGCCAGGTGCAAGATTTAACCCACCCAACCCTCTTTCAGTGTATAGTGCATATTCTGCATATTCTGAACTCAAAGTGGGAAACAACTTAAAATGTAGCTGCATCCTAAAATCACCTATCATATAGTTTAATCCTGAGAGACAGGAGACATCTTCGACTCTTGTCGGATGATAGGGATCATCATCCTCTTAGAACTGCAGAGCTGGAAGGGAGCCTGTGGCTCATCAAGTCCAGCCCCTCTCAAGAAGGCGTGATGGGGAATCGAACCCCCAGATGGGTGACTGCAATGTTGATTTTTCCATCCTAGCTTCACTCTGTAAGATGTTTCTGGACAGAAACGTAGAATCGTGAAGTTGGAAGGAGGTCTCTTAAGACTATCAGGCAGTCTGACGGACGGCTGTCCAATTTTCTCTTCAACGCCTCCAAGAACACTAAGGGGAGACAGGACGGCACTTTTCAAAGTCTTGAAAGGGAGTCCTACAGAGGAGAGGTGGGATCTGCTCTCAATCATCCCAGACAGCAGGACTCATAATCATGGGCTCAAGGTACAGTGGTGCCTCGCTTAACGATTGCCGAACATTATGACGAATCCACTTTAAAAGGGAGTCCTACAGAGGAGAGGTGGGATCTGCTCTCAATCATCCCAGACAGCAGGACTCATAATCATGGGCTCAAGGTACAGTGGTGCCTCGCTTAACGATTGCCCCACATTATGACGAATCCACTTTACGATGATCTTTTTGCGATCACAATTGTGATCGCAAAACAATGGTCTAAATGGGGGAATTTCGCTTAGCGATGATCGGTTCCCTGCTTCGGGAACCGATTTTCACTTTACGACTATCAAAAACAGCTGATCATTGGGTTTTCAAAATGGCCGCTGGGTGCTTAAAATGGCTCCCTGCTGTGCTTAGGGACTGATTCCTCGCTATACAGGCAGCGAAAATGGCCGCCGTATGGAGGATCTTTGCTGGACAGTGAGTTTTTACCCCATTGGAATGCATTGAACAGGTTTCACTGCGTTTCAATGGGGTTTTTAATTTCGCTTTACGATGTTTTCGTTTAACGGTAATTTTCCTGGAACAGATTATCGTCGTTAAGCGAGGCACCACTGTACATGAATCCAGATTTAGGCTGAAGATCAGGAAAAACGTCTTAAGTGTTAGAGCAGTACAACAATGGAACTAATTCCTTTGGGAGGCAGTTAGGGCTCCAACACTGGAGGCATTCAAGAGAACATGGGACAAGCCTCAATCAGATCTGCTTTGATTTGAGCTTGTAGACGCCGATGGTCTCCCGGCTCCCCGGACAGCTCTCAGGACCGTGCTGTTAACTCCTTTTTCCTTCCTCTCTCACCCTCTCTCAGGTGGGCTGCAAGGTAGCCGTGACCTTGTTCCTTTATTTTCTGGCCACCAACTACTACTGGATCCTGGTGGAAGGCCTCTACCTCCACAGCCTCATCTTCATGGCGTTCTTCTCGGAGAAGAAATATCTTTGGGGATTCACGTTATTCGGCTGGGGTGAGTCTCGTCTCCTCTCGGTCCTCCCGCTTGGCAGCCTCAGAGTCTTCTGCACAACAGAGGAGACTCTGGGAAAGTTCATGATTTGTTGGGAAGGTGTTGTGGACGTCCATAAATCTCGATTGCAAGTAACGCTGTGATGATAACGCGCTAGACGACGACTCGAGAAGCTTGGGTTCCAAACTCTGCTCAGCCACGAAAGCCCACTGGAGGCAAGGAATGGTAAACTGTCGTTTGAACATCTCAAGTACCTGAAAAAGAGCGTTAGGGCCACCGTAATTCGGAAGTGACTTCACCGCACATTATAACAATAGCAAGAGGAATACCGAAGCAGAATTTCAAATGATAAACTGGACAAGTGTTATCTTGGGCTGAGAAACTGCTAGGCCGGGTTACAGGGGGTGGGTAGCGGTACATTCGGAAAGAGAGGCGCTCATTATGAGCCAGACAACAGACAACCCGTTCTTCAGCAGCTACTGCACATCTTTGGCTATCTACGGTGCTGTGAAGTCATTACCAGCTTTTAGCAAGCCTGTGAATTAATGACCTCCCAGGTGTCCTGTCATTAACGACCGTGCTCAGGTTTGGCAAAGTCGTGGCTTGCCTTTAGGCAGTCAATCCATCTCACGTTGGGTCTTCCTCTTTTCCTACTGCCCAGTCCTACCCTCCTTATCATTTCCAGCAAACCTGGTCTTCCCAAGGTCCAAACTAATGAGATTAGTTGACCTACAACCACCTTGGTGGGCAAACTGAAGCACTCCTCCCATCCAAAATCAATCGGTGATCAGCTAAAAACAGGCGGTGATGGCTAGTTTTTGTCTGATGAACAGGAATACCTAGAGGCCTCTTCACTGGGTACAAATGGCTTGATGTTCTTGAATGGCTTGTGATGGCCGGTGGCAACTAGAACAGCCCTGGGTCGACACCCATGGGACGACACCCATGGCCGCAGTCAAGATGGTCTACCGGATCCCCTCTTGTGTTGCCTGCCATTCACAAAGGGACACCAGGCAAAGGAAAAATCCCAGAAGCAGACTCCTGTTTTCATTGGTTAACTGCTTCTCACCCAAACCCCTGGGTGCTTAGGCAGGGACTAGAACAAGTGTTGAGCACGAGAATATAATTCAGTTCCTTTAAAAAGCTGGTTCATGAATGTGGGGATATTGTGTTTCTGTATTCATGATTCAAAAAGCCAGGAAATGGCCTGATAGAGTTACACAATACGTGGCCAGTGAGAGGAAAGATGCCACACTTCAGGGCAGCCTAAATGTGGACGACACCCATGGCCGCAGTCAAGATGGTCTGCTGGATCACCTCTTGTGTTGCCTGCCATTCACAAAGGGACACCAGGCAAAGGAAAAATCCCAGAAGCAGACTCCTGTTTTCATCGGTTAATTGCTTCTCATCCAAACCCAAAACATTTGTCCGGGTTGTTTTTCAAGAAGTGTGAATGTTTCTGCCAAAGGTGGTGCTGATCCGAGATCCAGTTTCCTTGTTATCCTTTTTATTTTGTTTTGGGTTTTTTTGGGACCCCACTGCTCTTTGAGTTGGCTTTCAGAATGTATCTGTGCTTCCCCAGGTGCCAATAATAAGTGACGTCAGACAGTCGTTCAAATGACTGAAATGGAGGATCCTCAGCCAACCTTGGGTGGAAACGGGCACTGTTTCAGAGATGACGTCTGGCCATAGACCTCTCTGTTCCTCTCCTTCTCAGCCTGCGTGTTTTGAAAAATAAGCCAATCTTTTCCGAAGGAAACTTACGAGTCGCTCAGGGGCTCCCAAACGTTTTGAGCCGGGCTTCTGTCCGTCCCTCTGAAATACGATGTCAAGGCATAGGGTAAAGGAGATGTCCGAGTCACACAAGACTTTGCCATCTTGCAGCCCCCGTGAAGTGATGCTCGCCCTCCTCTTGAGTTGCACCACATCCTGGGGTCTGCCTGATTGTGGGTTCCTGAGAGAGTCACCCCAAATTTACTTCCCTCGCCCCTGCTCTTCTTTTCCGGTTTCCTTCCTTCAGAGTATATATATATATAGAGGACAGGGTGACCTTGAGCCTTGGGATTTGTGCAGGAAACAAAAGGAGCCCTTTTCAGCGCGGTTGGGTTGTCGGTTTGAAAACAGGATGTGGGGAAAGTGGGCAAAGTCATTAGCGAAAATCGGTTTCCCCACAAAGTCATTTAAGGACAGGAAGTAGGCAGGCCAGTAGAAATAGCCATGGCTCGTTAGGAACAAAAGAGAGCGTACGGAGGCCGAGCTGATATCCAATGGACTCCGTCTTTTGGTCAAACCCTTCGTCCCTGTGAATTCCTTGTGCGTTCGCTACCACCAACAAGCTCCATCTCTCTTTAGACGGGAGGAACAACCTGCCACCGTACTGGGTTCAGATCCTCTTCCGGGAGGGGTAGACGACCTGATCCATAAACCCATTCATTTAAAAGCACACCAGAACCTGAATTTGACAGTCACATTTCAGAAGAAGCACCGACATCGTACGTTTTCAGCATCAGATGAACAGAGATGTTTCTCTCTGACCGTGGAGGTGACATTTTTCGCTAGCCATCACTCAGCCGGTTCTCCATGAACTTCATCAAGCCGGCCATCAATTTAGTCTGTGTCTTCGTGGTCAGTCTTTTCTTTAAAAGGGTCCTCTAAGCTGGAGGTCTTCCTACTTCCCATCTATCCAGGAGATGCATCGTCTGAATGAGTTTCCAAGCTAAGTCTTGATCCCTTTCACGCCAGAGATGTGTTACGGCTAGAAGATGATGTTTCTTCCCCCTTGTAGGAGATTTTGTGTTGGCAAGGAAACAGGGTGGAACTTCAGAAAGCGTTTTGCTCTATAAATCATGCCGTTTCTCTTCTGAGGTCCTCTCCAGAGATGTCATCTGAGGACGCCCTGGACAGACAGAAACCCTCGCCGTCCCCTAAGGTTCTGATTGCAAGAATTCTCCTCAAAAACACCTGCCTAGCGCTTGGCCATTCTTGAACGGCCAAAGACACCAGGAGATTTGAACTCATTGAATTAAACCGTCTTTTTTTTTTAAAAGTGGCATCATGGAATCCGTGTCTTGAGCCAAATATCTCATTGTGTCAGGATGGGGCTCACCCTACAAGCTCAGCACACTTCTCTTATGGGGCCTGAGAACACTCCGGTACTGCAGTGAGTCCTGGACGCTTTTGTGCACGGCAGGAGAGGAAGATGAACACGTTCCATATGCGTTGTCTCTGATGCATTTTTGGTATCACCTGGCAGGACAAAGTTCCAAATAGAGTAGTCCTAGAACGAGCTGGGATTTTTAGCATGTATACATTACTGAAACAGCGACAACTACGTTGGCTTGGGCATGTCATGAGAACGGCTGATGGTCGGATTCCAAAAGCTCTCCTGTATGGAGAATTAGTGCAGGGAAATCGCCCCAGAGGGAGACCACAGCTGCGATACAAGGACATCTGCAAGCGGGACCTGAAGGCCTTTGGAATGGACTTCCACAGATGGGAAACGTTGACATCTAAGCGCTCAGCTGGAGGCAGGCGGTGCATTATGGCCTCTCCCAATTTGAAGAGACCTTTGTTCAGCAGGCTGAGGCCAAGAGCCAGTCCCGGAAGCAGCAAAATTGGGGAGCCGGACAGGGAACAGATTGAATTTGTCTTCAGAGTGGAAGGGATGGTCCCTCTCGAACTGGCCTTCTCAGCCACACTAGACGCTGTTCCAAGACCACTATTCAAAGCATGTTACCATCGTCTCTCGAGACTGAAGGATGCCTAATCAGGATTTTATTTGCCATTTCCACCAGCCTGTAATTACTGAATCTTGGACGTTCTGGGGCGGGGAAAAACACAAAAGCTTCCCAGTATCCCAAAATCTGCCTACGTGGGCTCTACGCAGCCCATCGGTACCTTCCGTGGGCCACGTGCGGGAAGAGGGAGCATTGGGTCAGCCAGCAGCTCTGAACGTGGCACCCCGTCCCCGAGATATCCTGACCTTATAGGACCTGCATTGTACACACTGTGTGTAAGGACTAGAGATGCACAGCGCATACAATGTGGATACTATAGAAGTCAATGCCAGCGGTGCCACCCCTTGGAGCTTGCGCTGCTGTGTGGGTGTGGGTGTACTCGTGTGTGTGTTCTTATGTGTATGTGTGTGTAACTCATTAAGAAATAAAGCAGTGATTCACTCCCATCTGTGTGCATGGCTGCTCTTAGTTCAAGCAGCAAGCTGCAGCAAAATAATAAATGAAATAAAATTTTAAAGATCCTCCAGGTCTCTGCCTCTAGGAGTCTACAGTGCGCCAGGAAGGGGAGGCAACAGAAGGCTGGGAAAGTAAGAGCAAGGATGGAGGAATAGGGGACCATCTTACACCTAATCTGTGGTGCTGTGATTTATTTATCTGAGAACCTAGCCATTGATTGGCTAACCTTGGGTGCTGTATAACACCAAAGAAGGGTGACCAATTTGGAGCTAGAATGCTTCCATCTTCTCATTCGCTTCTTGATTTTCACTTTTAAAAAAAGTATTCATGGTTTTTTTTTTTAAATTATTTCTTGCACTCTGAGATCTATTCATGGATGATGAGAGGAATGGAAACCAAGCCCTAGGAGGAAAGACTGAAAGAACTGGGCAGGCTTAGCCTTGAGAAAAGATGACTGAAGGGACAGAAGATACTACTTTTCAAATACTTGAAAGATAGTCATCCACAGAAGGGGCAGGATCTGTTCTCCATCATCCCAGAGTGCAAGACACGCAACAATGGGCTCAAGTGACAGGAAGCCAGATTTCAGTTGAACATCAGGAAAAACTTCCTAACTGTTAGAGCAGTATGACGACGGAGCTCGTGACCTCAAGGGGAGGTGGTGGGCGCTCCAATGCTGGAGGCCTTCAAGGGAAAATCGGACCACCCTCGGTCAGATCTGCTTGGATTTGGATTTCTGCCTTAAGCAGGCAGGTTGGACTCAATGACCTTCAAGGCCCCTTCCAACTCCGCTATTCTGTAATTGCATGATTCATTCCATGACCTGATTCTGTGGCCACGTGCTCTGTCCTCCACCACCACCACCACCCCCTGTCCCAGAAGGAAAGGTCCCTCGGGTTGGAATTTCCAGGGAGACCTTTACTACAAAAGGCACCAAGCTAGGTGGATACATGGGGGAAATCAGATTTCAGCACCGTTCTTCCTTTTTTATTTTATTTTTTTCACTCCGAATCCCAGGAACTTTCCCAGCTGGCCTCCAGCCTCCAACGCCCATCCTAGCTGGGAGGACAGAACATGGTCTGACAGTCTTGGCCCCCAGCAAGTAATTGACTTTGAAGTTCTGACGAAATGGGAGATGCTGCATTTTCAGTCACACCACCCTCCCGCTTTAAGAGAGCTAGAACTGGCCACGATCTCTTGCAGATGACACCTCTCCCCTTTCGGTGGGAGGACAGAAGGGTTTATAACCCCCATGTCCATCTTGGCCTCAAGGAGCTCCATCTGATTTATCTCTGTGGTGACGGGGTGGGGATGAGGAAGAAAGAAAGTTTTTGGGGTGGGGGAGAGACTTTTCCCATCTTGTGGGGCTCCCCTCCAAAGTGCAGAGATGGACATTCACGCATTATTACCTTTTTTTCTTTTCTTTCTAGGACTCCCTGCTGTCTTCGTCACAGTCTGGGCAAGCTTACGGGCAACCTTAGCAGACACAGAGTAAGTCTAAAGCAGTTTCCTCAGGGCCAACGAGGTCCTTTATTTTGTGCGTGTAAACAAAACTTACGAACTCTGTTTCTTAAAAAAAAAAAAACGTGGGTGATGCAGTCATAACTCTTAATTACAAGCTGCTTCTCGGGTCATTTCCCTCGGCTGTCAATCACTCTCCTTTTTTATTTAAACACCCTTGACTATTTAAATAGCTCCAGACAGTGGCAGGTTTTCTTCTTTCTCCCTAACCGAATTTAAGGCGCAGGTTTGGCTAAGTTGATATAAATGCAGTCTGTAATGAATAGAAAATAGTCTTTAGCTAATTGTTATTCACCCTTCATTAAGCCCTGGAGAAGTCTGGAAAGAAATGAGGACCAAGTCTGTAATGAACTCAGACGGTTCTTTATTCATTGTCTTCATGGTGGTAATGGTGATAAATGTAAAATTTTGTCCCTGCGTGTATCTGTTGGGTGTATGGGAGGGGAAAAAAATACAGTAACCTCTGCCCATTGCCTTAGGCCACACATGCTTTTTGGTGTGGGTCTCAACCAGAGAAGTCCTCCACCCCCAATTTCACCAATAAAATAAAATAAAATAAAATATATATACTGTGCCATAGCATTGAAGCACCCTCTGGGCAAGTTTACAGTTCAACTATGCAGGCTACACACTGCCTCTCTTCCCAGCATCATGCTAGGTATTCCGTTTCCCAACCTCGGGAGGATGGAAGGCTGAGTGAACCTTGAGCCGGCTACCTAGGATTGAACCCAGATTGAGCAGAGTTTTGGCTGCAGTACTGCCATTTAACCACTGTGCCACGAGGCTCATCCGCCCCCATTTAGCTTATCTCTGCAAGAGGAAAGGAGCAGCCGAGAATCTGAAAGCGCTCGCTTCTCAGGATGACAGCTCCTAGAACTAGCTTGGCTTGTGAGCCAGCAGACTGGAAGGTCCCAGGAATTGTAGTCTCACAAAGTAACTTTTCCAAGCTCCGGACCTTCTCCCTGCAAAGCAGGGGTGTTGCAGAAGAACTGACGGACAGCAGTTTCTCCTTCACCAGAAGCAGGGTTTTTTGTAAAGCCAATGGGTCTTAACTACCCATTCAAGCCAGCATGAAACTATATGGTGAGCTCTGGTGGGGAAAATCCATTTCCTTCTCATATGTAGATCAAACACCCCACCAAGGCAGAGTTGCACTGGTTGTGAGTTTGGTGGCATGACGGGTCCCAGGGGAGGAATTGTCATGCAACGTCCCTTCTTTTCCAAACTAGAACTGGAGCATGTATTGGGCAGGAAACACTTTGCACTGGGGTGCAAAAAAAAGGCTTGTATTTTGTGCAAACAAACTAAAATCCAGCCAGTTTTTAAGTACTATATTTATTTATTTGCCAACATGGCTGCTGATGAGGTGGAATAAGCCTGATTTTTGCACTCGTGCAGGAGCAGAGAAATCTCCCAGCAGCTGGCTCTCTTTTGATTTGATTTTTGGCGAACGGAGACACACTTTGCTCATCAGCAGGAACCAAACATGCACTGCTTTGTGACATCCAAACTGGTCAGATGGATTATGGGAGTGGTTGTGCCGCCCACGACCCAAAGAACCAGGGGTGGCGACCAATGCCCTTGAAGTACTTTTCTGACATTGCTGAAAGACAGAGAAAAGATGCAAGGGTTATAATTCTCTCTCTCTCTCTCTCTCTGTCTTTCTGCAGGTGCTGGGATTTAAGTGCCAGCTATTTCAAGTGGTTTATTCAGGTGCCCATCCTCACAGCTGTGATGGTGAGTCAGAGAAGTTCGGATCGGGGAAGGGGGAAGACCAGAGAAAAGACACGGGAACGTTTTTCTTGCCAGGGGGGTGGATCTCCCCTGTGGTAGTGAAAATGTCATTAAAAAGCAGATGGTTGGTTGGTTGGTTGGTTGGTTGGTTGGTTGGTTGGTTGGTTGGTTGGTTGGTTGGTTGGTTGGTTGGTTGGTTGGTTGGTTGGTTGGTTGGTTGGTTGGTTGGTTGGTTGGTTGGTTGGTTGGTTGGTTGGTTGGTTGGTTGGTTGGTTGGTTGGTTGGTTGGTTGGTTGGTTGGTTGGTTGGTTGGTTGGTTGGTTGGTTGGTTGGTTGGTTGGTTGGTTGGTTGGTTGGTTGGTTGGTTGGTTGGTTGGTTGGTTGGTTGGTTGGTTGGTTGGTTGGTTGGTTGGTTGGTTGGTTGGTTGGTTGGTTGGTTGGTTGGTTGGTTGGTTGGTTGGTTGGTTGGTTGGTTGGTTGGTTGGTTGGTTGGTTGGTTGGTTGGTTGGTTGGTTGGTTGGTTGGTTGGTTGGTTGGTTGGTTGGTTGGTTGGTTGGTTGGTTGGTTGGTTGGTTGGTTGGTTGGTTGGTTGGTTGGTTGGTTGGTTGGTTGGTTGGTTGGTTGGTTGGTTGGTTGGTTGGGATGGTTGGCTTGGATGGTTGGGATGGTTGGGATGGTTGGCTTGGATGGTTGGCTAGGATGGATGGATGGATGGATGGATGGATGGATGGATGGATGGATGGATGGATGGATGGATGGATGGATGGATGGATGGATGGATGGATGGATGGATGGCTGAGTTTGGGCTGCAATGCCACAGTTCCCATGGTGGTTGGTGGATTCTGGGATCTGTAGTCCAAAAAAAGGGAACCTCCCCCTGCATTTGGACCCTCCATCTGCAAAGCGCGTGCTCTTTCTCAGCAGCATAATCCTTCCCGTACTCAGGGCTAGGTCTGATTCTCACATTTTGCTTGGCAAAGTGCAACACGGCAGAGAAGCGGATGGCAATCTTGCTTTTATTTCTGTAATTTATTTTGAGTTGCAGAACAGCTAAGCTCCAGGTGGGCTTTAGCTTCTCCAAGATAGCCCCTGTCTGAAAATGCAATCTTTTCATGCCCGGGTTTGGCAGAACCTGGGTTTCAGTGGCAACGAGGGTAAAAAAAACCCTACTCTTTCCAACAGAGAGAGTTCTTTGCTTCCAAACAGAATCGCATTTGCCAAACGCTCCTGCAAAGACATCCTAGGGGGTCTTACTCACCCCTGGCAGCAAAATCTTGGCCTCATCCAACTCATTCTCTTCTAGCAATTGGGCTGTAAGGTCAAAGGCTTACGGGGCCTGGTGGTTCTGTGTTCTAATTCTGCCAGGTCTCTTTTTGCTGTCATCTTTCTCCCCTCCCGGGATCCCGTATCCAAGGACCACTGTGTGGTTTGGAGAGTTGGTCGTTCCTAATGGAACGGAGGAGGAAAACCCTCTCTGTGAGCTTCCAGGAAGAGAAGGAGCTTGCAAAAGCCTGCCTTCAAAACTTGATAACGAAAATATGCTCTTGAATGTCACCTCGCATTCAAGATTTTCATCCCAACCCTAAATCTCTGTCTCGTTTTAAGAATTCCAGTGCTGGGGGTTTTCAGAATTCAGGGGATAATAAACCCATTCACGCCTCTTAAACATGAGCAGCGATGGTCCTCGGCCGGCCACCAGCTGGGTCAACCACCGATGCCAGCTCCTGGCTTCTATTTCTGATATTTCGTTGCTGTCCCCCAGCAATGACTCCCTCCAGACAACTCCCTGGGAGCTACGTCGACTCTTTTCCACAGGACAGACTACAATAGACGGGTGTAATGATTACCTTACTAGTTTAAAAGTGTGAACAAGAACCAAGAGGAGCAAAACTGAGGAGGACATTTTGTAAGGCATCACTCTGGCTGATGTTCCTCTTTTGCCGTTGCCGAATTTTGATTGATTGATTGATTGATTGATTGATTGATTGATTGATTGATTGATTGATTGATTGATTGATTGATTGATTGATTAATTAATTAGCTTCTAGTCCCCCAGATCAGTCCACCCCTTTTTCTCATCAACCAGCCCCTACTTCTCAATAACTTGCTCTGAGACATGAATAAGAGAAGGAATAAAAGTTTTCATTTACTCACGATTGAACATAGGACACAGCAAAACAGAAAAACGTGACTGACTGCTTTCAGCAAACAGACATCAACAGACTACCTGCTTCCAACCGGCAACAGACAAGGGGAAAAGGCCAGGCAGAGAGGCAGAACCTTCTTTGGATTCAGAGGCAGGAGGGAACAATTGATTAGGTTTAATTGGTTAAACCAATCACTTCTATAGTGTTTTTGCTGTTGGTTTTGGCACATGTTCTGTGAAGGGAGGAGCCAAGATACACCTTCGTGACTCCCCTCCTTTTACCTCTGTCTTTCTCTTTCAGGCAAATTTTATTCTCTTTATCAAAATCATCAGAGTCCTGGCCACCAAACTTCGAGAGACAAACGCAGGGAGGTGTGATACAAGACAACAGTATAGGTAAGTCCCCGGCAACCCTCCAGCGTGTGCTATTAAGTCACACCTCACTTGTTGCAACCCTAGTAGGTTTTTGCATGCTGAGGTGACCCATTTAAGAAAAGGTTTTAGCATCCTCCCTCCCCAGAGAGTTTCCGTGGTGAAGCAGAGATTCCAATTCAGGTCTCCTGAGTCCTAATCTGGCATTCTATTGCCAAAAAAATTCTAGGAGTATCTAGAAAAAGGGAAAGGCACCGCCTGAATCCAGCAACTTGAAACTTTTAAGTGGAGTAAACTAACCCAATGGAAGGCCATCAGTTCACAAATAAATTGAACAACCCATCAAAATCTTCAGCTTCAGGTTAGGTCCCATGGGAAGGCAAACATACATCTTCTCGATGGTTGTTGTGGGTTTTCCGGACTGTTTGGCTCTTAAGGTTTTTCTTCCTAATGTTTCTCCAGTCTCTGTGGCCAGCATCTTCAGAGGACAGCATTCTGTGCTCTGTGCTGTCCTCTGAAGATGCCGGCGACACAGACTGGCAAAACGTTAGGAAGAAAAACTCAAGAACATGGCCAGACAGCCTGGAAAACCCACAACAACCATCAGATCCCCGCCCTGAAAGCCTTCAAGTATACATCTTCTCCTCTGACAGTTTTCTCCCTCCAGGCATGGAAATCTTTCAGGACCGCTTATGTGAGATATCAGACGTGAAAAACAAAGCCATGCTACCTCCCAACTGGCCAATTATGAAACAAAAGCAAGCAAAGTGCAACTTTAATTTGAATAAACAAACAGTATTTTCTTTTGAAGGGTGCACCTCTTCTAGAAACGGAATCAGACGTTCAGTTATTTAGACCCTAAATGTATTTCCCAGACATGCCCTTGTCTCCAGAGGGTTTTCTGCTTGAACCAAGCCCTATAGGCCACTACATGTCTGGTGAAATCAGTCACCAGGTTTCTGGATCTCTGCTTCAGCAGGAAGATCGGCTTAGGAAGCTGGCGCTTCCACCATCCAACGTGCAGCGCTTCGGCTGCTATTGGCCTCCACAACTGCCCAAGTGTGTTCCCTGGCCTTTTCGAGACCTATCATTTACCTACGGATTTATTTCATGCTGTTGGAGGCTTGCTATTAATTAAGGTTTGGAGGCGCTCTGTGACTTTTATGGGGTTTTTTCCCAGCCCCCAACCCCAGCGGCTCCCATTTGCCAGCAGAGGGAAAAGGCGCTCAGCCGAGCCACGGCGGGTGCCCGGTCCTCGGTAATTGCCTCCATGTGGTACCACGGCAACGGTTGGCGAAGCAACCCCTCCCTTTCCCAGCCGGCATCATTTCCAGGCAGAAAATGTTCTCGTAGGGAGGAGAGCTTCTAAATGATTCCCAGATGTCGCATCCATTCCTGCTTTCTGAGCTGCCTTCTGGAGTTCTGTGGCATCGTGACATGCCACAGTTCGGTGTCGTATCGCATCCCGTCGCCACAGGAATCTCAGAGGGACCAACGGGGGGGGAGGGGTGTTCGGGACCCCAATGGCCTGCCTTCTCCGTCCTTGGCTGTGCTTCCCATAAGAACGGATTTTGCTCTGTTGAACTTTATATCTCCTCGGTGCACACTCTTAGTCCGAGACAGAAAAGAGTCCTGGCTCCTCGACAATGCAATTTCATCAAATAAATGTTTAGCATTTCACCTTATTTCCAGCGTAACCCTGGCTGCAGAGCTTTAAATTTCTGGTGAAAAATTCCCTTTCATGACACAGGAGAAGGACAGAGGAGAGTAGCTTCTGTTCCCCCCGATAGCCTGTCTCTTTCTCATGAACCGGCACTTCCAGGTCTCAATAACTCACTCTGAGACATCTTTAGTAGAAAGAATAAACCTGTTTCATTACTTGCTGTCGTGAACAGATCCAACAGCAAACCATAAAAAACAGACGGCTTCCTACGGGCTAAAGAGGAGGAAAGGAAGCCTTTAGCAGGGAGGCGGGACTCTCTTTGAATTCACAGGCAGTAAGGAACGATTGGATAGTGCTGGATAGATTGACAGTCACCCAAGCCCAGAAAAGACCCTCCCAGTCACACAAACCATAGGCAGCCTGTGAGGTTGTAAAAACTCCCACCATCCTTACGTCCACAATCCAACTTAAAAATCAGAGACCTTGCAAACGAAGGCACTTTATCTCAGACTGCTACTTCGTAAGCCACAGTAGGGTTAGCTAATTGGGCGGGGTGGGAGAGGCAAAGCGCAGGCCAATTATCTTATCCTTGATAAAGAAGAATATCTCAACCTACCAAAGCACTCTGCTGTAAAACAAAATCATCAACCACAGGAAGTTTTATTTGCTGCTTCACGTGACGGAAAAGACCAGCTCTGTCTTGAGCAGCAGCAGTTTCAGGAAAAAAATAAAACCAAATTTTTTATATATATATTTTACAACAAAGCCCCACATTTTGTGGCCAAAAAAAAAAAACCCTTGTATTTTGCTCAATATGCAAGGGTTTTGCACAAAATGTGGATTTATTTATTTTTTTTGCATGAAGGACAGTATGTCTGGCCCCATTAAAAAAAAACACTCCCCCTCCAAAAAAAATTGGAAATAAAAGGCCCAGAATACAAAACAGGGGAATGGATAAAAGCTCTCACTTGGATCCTGGCACTGAACAGGGTTCGATGGCCTTATAGGCCCCTTCCAAATTCATTATTCTGTTATTCTGTGATACTGTTGCCCAGTGAGGAGAAAACGTGTGGATTTTTTCATTCTTCTCTGCAAGAACAGTAGGAGCCAAAACGTACATCCTATAGCCGGATCGGAGGCAAAGACCAAGTTAAAAACCCAGCCACGTGATGTAGAATGTGGGAAGTTCCGTTAGATTATAGCTCGGTCAACAGTGCCAGAATCGGCAAAGGCTTTCCACCGGGGTCGCCCTCGCTAGTCCGCCTTTTGGGGTTTTTTGCCCAGAGAAGGGAACAGCGCCCATGGCCAGGAGCGTATCAGAAACGAAGGGCCACCTTTCTTAGGAGGCCCACTGAGATGAGGAGAGAGGATGCTTCTAGCTGTTACCTGGGCCACTCAGAGCTGGTTTGGATGCAGTATAACCCTTTGCGAATGTTTTAATGCACGGCTCGGGGTTTTAAAAATGAAAACATCTACATCATTGAACACACATTACTCTCTCTCTCTCTCTTTCCAAAGTTGTGAGAAATGCTCAGTATTTCCCCTCCCCCTCCTTTTATGTCGGATTGCAAACACGGCCGTCGTCCTCGTGTAAACGGAGAGCCGTGGCTTGTAGAGCATGCATGAGTGTGGCTTAAAAAAAGTTACTGCGGGGGGCTACACTTCCCACAATCCCCCAGCTAGCATTCCCACTGGGGAACTGGAGTCCAGAAAAAGTAACTGTGGAAAGCCGTGTGCGTGATTCATAACATCAAATGAAATACTGTAATAATAATTTAAAAAATTCACACCTACGTATTTTGGAAGTCCAGCATGCAATGAAGGGTTGATTACAGATCGTTTTCTCGTTTATGTGATAGTCCATGAACCCATGTGTTTCATCCAGGCTAACTGGATGTTTGATATTCACATCTGCAGCCGTATAAATTCAACATGACCCAGCTGCATAATCTCTAGTCTTCAGTTCAGAGCAAAGCCGTTTCCCCTGTAGCACAACTTCTAGGGACACTAAAATCAAGACATGGCCGCCCTGTCTCGGAAAAGGTGACCAGTTCTAATCTAGCCAACTGATCCTGAACCACTCCTGGTTAACCATCATCCAGCCAGCTCTGGAAGCTGAGAGCGAGCCAGCGCCTCTCTTACCCTTCCCTCTGTTCTCTTCTGCAGGAAGCTGCTGAAATCAACCCTCGTCTTAATGCCTCTCTTTGGAGTTCATTATATCGTTTTTATGGCTATGCCATACACAGAAGTCTCAGGAATCCTCTGGCAGATCCAGATGCACTATGAAATGCTCTTCAATTCTTTCCAGGTATGACGTGCCTCCTCCAAGGTCCAGTTTCAAGGATGACCGCCTGGTGGCCAACCCAGGGAAGCTGGGGGAGAATCCTGGGCTCGCCCCCATCCGGGCGTCCCCCTTTTTAACCTTTAAAATCAACATTTAGGGCTCAGTGAGAGTCTTGGTCCTCCCTAGAGTAGACCCCTACCAGCAGTGGGATTTGCGTTGGCATTGATTCGACAATGCCCATTCATTCACCCATGGTGGCTGTTTTCCCACAATGTGTCAGGGGCAAAGGAACAATGCGGGAGGTCAAGAGGGAAGCAAGCAATGGAGCAGCAGCCACGGGGGAGAAATGAATAGAAGGGTGGGATCGTGTTCTTGGCAACGATATCACGATGGCCAAGCAGCTACCCGAGAATGCTTCGACAATGCCCGTTCGTTCACCCATGGTGGCTGTTTTCCCACAATGTGTCAGGGGCAAAGGAACAATGCGGGAGGTCAAGAGGGAAGCAAGCAATGGAGCGTCAGCCACAGGGGAGAAATGAATAGAAGGGCGGGATCATGTTCTTGGCAACGATATCATGATGGCCCAGCAGCTACCCGAGAATGCCACATGTGGACCTGATGATGTCTGGGAGCCTCTGAATGATGATGGAGAGATGGTTACACGGTTGGACAGGCGAGGGCGAGATGTTTACAAGGAAGCCGGATTTTGGGTGGATATCAGGAAGAACTTCTTAACTGTTAGAGCAGTACGACAATGGAACCAGTTATTTCAGGGGGAGGCAGGGAGCACTCCACCGTTGGAGACGTTCAGGAGAAATTTGAACAACCCTCTGTCAGATCTCCTTTGCTTTGGACTCCTGAAGGGAGCAGGGGGTCAAACTCAAGGGCCTTAGAGCGGTGGTCCCCAACCTTTGGCCTCCAGATGTTCTTGGATTTTAACTCCCCGAAATCCTGGCACCACCACCTCTGTTGGCCAGGATTTCGCGGAGGAGAAGTCCAAGAACATTTGGAAGCCCAAGGTTGGGGACCACTGCCTTAGAGGCCCCTTCCAAATCCATTGTTCGATGAGTCTAATCTTTCTTTGCTTCTTTCTTTCTTCTTCCTCCTAGGGATTTTTTGTGGCCATTATCTATTGTTTTTGCAATGGGGAGGTAAGTCTCTTGGAGCTCCAACTGTGCCCTTGATGGGATGGTGGAAAGTCACAGCCTCTTGAAATTTTAGAGGGCCTTGTCAGGACGGGGGGTCTCTCCTAGGGAAAAATAAACACAAACGTTTGTCAGCCCATCAAGGTCTAATCCTGCCGGTTGCAGCCTTCTGAGCCTACAGAGGAAGGCTGATTTGTCTTTCTTTAACATGAGGAAATGCTTGTTAGTCTCAACTGCAGTAGATTGATTCAATTTATGTGAATTTGGAAGGTCAACCATTATGTAAATGGCATGGATTCAGTGGGTTTACTTGGACTGAGACTAACGATTATTGCTACCTCCAAGACTTTGGAGTGATGCAGTCCAGCGATGGATGGATCATGCAAGGGTCCCAGCTGCATATTTCTGTCTCACAAATGATACCCCTTTGCACTTATCTACCTGTTTTTCCTACTCAATGTTTTAAATCCCAGAAATATTCCCAGATCAAAATACACACACCTGTTCGTGAAGCACAGGGACTGGAGACCTTGTCTCCCTCCGGAATCAGGTCCTCCACATCTGAGAGCCGTCCCACATCTTCCGCCCGTACTTGCCATGCCAGAGCTTGCAAAAAGGGCTGTTGTAGGAGCCCTGTGGCACCATAGTTAAACTGCAGTACTGCAGTGAAGCCTCTGCTCCCAACCTGAGTTCAATCCCAGTGGGCTCAATCGGTAGCTGGCTCGAGCTTGATTCTGTCTTCCATCCTTCCGAAGTGCACAAATTGAGTACTCAGCTCGCTAGGGTGGGTGGCCATGTGTAGCCTGCCTAATTAAAATTATAAACCACCCAGAGGGAGCTTTAAGCACTATGGAGCAGAAGACTTGCTTTCAAACTATACCCTACCAAGTCCCCCAGTTGGCAAAAGGCTTAGCATACAAAAAGGTGCCCATCCCAGATACATTTCAAAGTGGCACCCCTCTCAAAGCTTTCCCTTGCTTCGTAGCCCATAATAAGTCCCCTTTCTCTTTCTCAACGGTTGCCAGGTTCAAGCCGAGATCAAGAAGTCTTGGAGCCGATGGACGTTAGCCCTTGATTTCAAAAGGAAAGCCCGGAGCGGGAGCACCACGTACAGCTATGGCCCCATGGTGTCCCACACCAGCATCACGAACGTCACCACCAGAGGAGGGATCGCTCTGCACGCCAACAACAGACTGATCCCGGGAGCCCTCAACGGGCATCGGAACTTGCCGGGATATGTCAAAAACGGCTCCATATCCGAGAATTCCCTCCCTTCTTCTGGGCCGGAACAGTACAATAAAGAGGAGGAGTATCTCAACGGGTCGGGACTCTACAACGGAGACAAGCCGACGGTACTCGTGGAGGAAGAAAAGGAGACTGTGATGTAATTTGGGGGTTGGGGGAGAGAGAGGAAAGAAATAGAAATGGCTTCGAGTCCAAATGAAGAGGTTCCCCCCCAAGTGTTGAGGGTTTAAGAGAATCCTTAGCCACTCGATGAACGCCAGGAGCCTACAGACCGTTGTCCTCTGCACTTTGAAACAAGAAATGAATTTTCTCGGGTAGAAGGTGGGCCAGCGGTCTGATCCAGATACTTTGCTCCATGGTCTGCTGCCCCACGGTGTGTCATGAAGGCCTGGGCTCTCTCGGTCCGGCAGGATTTGGCATCGCTGTCCGACCACGAAGGAGATAACTCAGCGTTTTTAAGGACATGTCTACAGACACGCTAGAATTTATCGACAGCCCAGCCCAGAAGGAACGGCCTGGTCCACGGGTCCAGTTTTGGGGCCGAGAAGGCCAGGGGCCGAGCGCCAGCGTCCCCACTTCGCGGGTTTCCCCTTTGATTGCTAAGAAAAGGGGTTTTATGTGTGAAAGGGCCACCCAGCAGAGAGGTTCAAGGGCGGGGGAGGCCCTTCCTTGGGACTGAACAGCGCAAGGTTTTACGGAGGGTCCAAATCCTTGCTTCTATGTTAAGAGCCAGTTCTCGAAAGACTCCCATGTCGCGACAGGAACCGGGGGAAATCCCATCCACCCAAACCTCCCATCCTTGCACCAACAAAAATCCAAAGGGAAGGAAAGGCAGAAATAGGTCTTTATCGGAGCGAAGCCAAAATGCGGGGGGGGGACAGCTGCTAGCGTAAACAGGAGAAAAGCAACAAATAGCAGAACACCCAAACTTTGCATCAGTGTTCCTGCTTCCCACTTCAGGAGGATAACGTTGCACTCATTTTAGCAACATACACCTTTAACTGTCATGTTTTCCACCAAAGCACCTTCGGGAACTTTAGTCCATGGAGCGCAAAGCTTGGAAGTAACACGTTAACAAGCAACGGCTTTTCCCTGTTAACGTGTTACTTTTAGGGCATGATGAGGGTGTAAGGATGCCCCTCCAGTCACTAGGTAACGACCATCCGTATCCTTAGTCTACAGCCAACCCCATGGGGCAAGTAATATCAGTCCAGTATATTCTCTCATTGGGGATGTATAAGTTGGAAAAAAAAAAGATTTTTTTTCAGGACCTTTTGAAGGGATTCCCAAACCCTCAAATTTTGCACCATTTTTTTAAAAAAGGGCAATCTTTCTTCCTAAGAAAAAGACATTTAAAAGCAACGAGCGACTTAAAAGAGTAACGTGCCAGGCTACTTCAAAATTGTGGTAGCGTTAAAGGTAGTGGGTTGCAGACGGTGGCCTTACAGGGGGTTGCACAATTTTTTTTTAAAAAAAGCCTTCTTAGCCCTAAGGAAACATAGGAGTCATTGATGTCTCTTCCCAAAAGTCTAGCTCCCAGAGTTCCACGGGAAGAAGATGCAGGCCTTTGAGTCTATGGTGTAGAATTATTGGGAGAAAGGGTTTGTGAAGGGTTTGCTGGTGGTAGATCAGTAATAGAAATAATCCACTTTTTTTGCATTCCGATCAAAGCCCATCTACTGGATCGATGTGTGTGGCTTATAGCCCGTCACACTGTAACTTCCATCATCCCTCACCTTGGGTTGTTTAGGCTAGGGCTGATGGGAGTTGAGACTCAACAACGTCTGAAGACCCATGAGTTGTCCATCTTTTGTAGACCTTCTGAAGTCACTTCATCTTCCCCTGGAGCGACACCAAACTGTTGGATAACCCTTCCTTCCAGTTCCCAAAATAGTTGACATTTTCCAGTGAGTGTGCATGGCCCTGTGTAAAGAGGAGGGTATAAAGGCATAGAGAGGAGAAGCATTATGAGGGAAGAACATAGAGGGTGGACTAAGTTGTGGGCTCTTCGCGCCTACTCCAGGTCCCCAGTCTCAAGTGTCAGTCAACACATGTAAATGCATGGTGCTCTGTGTCTCATCCTCTTCTCTAGAGGTGCAGAATTTTAACTGTTAGAGCAGTACGACAATGGAACCGATTAGGGGGTGAGCGCCCCAACGTTGGAGGCCTTCAAGAGAAAACTGGACCGCCTTCTGTCCGATCTGCTTGGATTGGGATTCCTGCTTTGAACCAGGGGGTTGGATTGGATGGCCTTCAAAGCCCCATCCAACTCCATGATTCTAGGGTTCTATGACTAGAAAATGAAGCCAGGATCCCACCCTAGAGCAGAAAGTTTTCGATGTCTATGACTTTACCAGAGCATCAGCTTGATCTAACATGACCGTGAAGACTAATCACATGGAAACTGAGAATTATTTTCTCAAGTTCTCCCCTGAGACAAGGAGACTAAAATGGGAGTTGGGTTTACTCTTACGACCCAATCTTAGCCATGTTTGCTTGATCTCAGTGGGTTGGGTCAAGGTTCCGTCTTCCGTTAGAAATCTTCTCCCAGAAGGATCTTCCTTGTTAGTTTTTCAGGGTCTTTTTGCAGCTCACCTCATTCCGTGAGCATTTTCAGGGAGACCGAGGGGCCCACCGTGTTTAAAAGGGGGCATAAAAAGTACATGCGCATGCCTGAAGCCAAGTTCCAACTCAGTTGGATTTCCTTCCACTTCTATAGGCTCAATACTGTAGCTCTGCCTTGGATCCTTGAAGCTGCCATTTGAAAACAAATGTGTCTTGGGTTTATACCATTTTAAAGGTTATTTCCCTCAAGGAATGCTGGGAACTTAATGAAGACGTTGAAAGTGATCTACTGGAGATCCATATATCCTCATGCCAGAACTACAGTTCCCTAGGCAGAAGGAGTGCTTGTTGAACCATGTTCGTTCCCTAGCATAGATAGCCCAGTGTAATCAGGTCCACCTTTTTTTTCTATCCATTTCATAATCGGTGCAAATTTGGCGAGCAAAAGGATTCTTTTTACGAAATTTGGGCTAATGTGCAATTTCTTTCATTCTCAATCTGTGCTTCTGAATAAGAACCATTCCTGCCTGCACAAAATAGGTACGAAGCCCCTCCTCTGAACAGCAAACTGCCGTATTTTTCCATGTATTATACTTTTGTCTAAAATCTTTAGACTAAAAATTGAGGGTCGTCTTATACACGGAAGTAAGCTGAGGAGAAAAAACAACTGGAGGGGAAAGCAGGGATCAAAGTGATCCTGCAGGGCTTTGATCCCTGCTTTCCCCTCCACTTGCTAAGCCTTAAGAAAAGGAAAGCAGGGATCAAAACGCTGCAGGATCGCTTCGATCCCTGCTTTCCCCTCTGCTTGCATAGTCTCATGGTGCTTAGCAAAAGGAGGGGGAACGATCAAAGCAATCCCGTAGCTGTATAAGGGGGAAAGGGATCAAAATGATTGTGCAGTTGTGGAATTGCTTTGTCCCTTTCCCCCTCCTTATTCTAAGTCACGTGGGGCTTAGCACAAAGGGAGAAAGCAGGAATCAAAGCCATCCTGCAGCACTTTGATCCTTTTTACCCTACATTTGCTTAGCCCCACTTAGAAAAGCCCCACTTTGGGTTAGAAAAGTGGGGGCGCCTTATACATGGGGCATTTATACACGAAATAATACAGTGTTTAGGAATAAAAATTGATATATTTTGGGCATCCTGATTTACACACAAATCCTATCGTTCCCAGAGTTCTGAGGAGAAACCATGACAGTTAATGCATGTTTTAAAAACTAGCTTGCATCTTTTTGCACGGAGGGGCCCCTGTCAACCGACTGATACAGCTGCAAGAGTGGAGGTTAGAAAATGGAGAGTCTTGCAAAGCGAAGGTGGCCTTGTGGGGGCCATGGCATGGCTTATTTAGGTTAGCCATCCTGCCGTAGTCGGCTTAAGGGTAGAAGCTAAACCGGGCACACTGTGCAAAGTTTTAAAAAGAAAACCTAAGTCAAGAAAAGAGGGACCTTGCAAGTGATATAAATTGTGCACATTTGACCACATTTTTTTTTTTGCACAAGCTTTTCCACAGTTTTTCCTATTTTGCATGACGCTAAGTGCTGCTTCTGTTGCCCTGAGTGAAAGTCCACGAAAAGTGCGGAAGCCAGGCGTCCCCTTCTGACACAGACTTCTCACCAATGGAACCAAGCCCCGGTCTCTGGAAACCTGACCGCCACTTGCATGGGCTCTGATCCCCACGTCATGTTCCCACACTCTGAAATATATATACATACATATATATTTTTAATTGCAATAATAAGAACTAGAAACTTGCTCTTTCAAAAGCAAAAGTGGAAGAGAGTAATTCTAACAGCTCTTCATCCATTTAAATGATTGTTCTGATTATTATTGCACTTCCAAGACAGATGGCTAGTAAGTTTTGAAGGAATCCAGTGTGAGAAACGTCATCTTTGGCTTCATGAATCGCGTTATATGGAAGATGCCCGTAGGATCCTTTAAAGGAGGCAGGAAGGAAGTCTGGCACCAAAGCCATGCTGCAGACGGGGCCAACAGTCGAAAATCTGGGTCAGCCCTCCGCTCTCCTTGTTTATGGTCTACTTTTGGATGAGACAAGCGATTCCTGGCAGCCCTCCATCCAATGAAAGATGCCGGGGACCACAGATCAACCCACACAGAGGATCTCAGGATGAAGGCACCATGCCCGTTAGCCAGCATGCCCCTTTTCGGGGATGCAGGCCAGAAGCCGAGTCGTTCCTCTCGATTGCCCAACGAGTCTTTGCTTTAATGTGTGGCCAGCAAGGTCGCCTCCTATGAGCCCAGCCCGGCCACAATCACATGCTACCTCTGAAGATCACTTCTGAAATCTCAGTCTTTTTTTTTCTTTTTGGTTCATAGAAATGCACTCACTGCTTGTTCCTGTTGCAGAAAATGTGGAGGCTTAGAAGGGTTCAGATCTGAGCCCACTGTTGTGCCAGGTGTAGATAATGCTGAACTGTTTCCAAAATAATTGCAAATTCCCTGTCTAGAGCTGCTCTGTTCTTGGTTTGTAGGAAACGGCGTACTCCACTTCCAATTCCTTTTTGAGCTCTCATTAGTATCTGGTGACACTCCCTATGTGTTGTCCTCAGTTGATGTAAAATATCTGTCGCAATTGTATATTTTCTTGGCCTCATTTTCCGGGATCAACAGTAGACATTCAAGTCCAATCTGAATTGCTTTGATTGCCCTGAATCACAGCTAAAGATATTGTGGGTAAATCCAATGATGTGCCATAAATGGATACCTCTTCCCCTCCTGTTTGGTGTATGGTTCTTTGAGGAACACCTCCTCTAAAAACAGCCACACAATGAGCACACAACCCTACAACGGACCGGCACAAGTCAAGCAAACATGAAGTGTGCTGCTTACATACTACCTCATAGCATTTCAAGTACTCTCTGGGCAGTTTACAACTGAATTATGCAAACAGCACTTTGCCCCCCATGCGAGATAGTAGTTAATTTACCAACCTCCAAAGGAGGGAAGGCTGAATCCACCTTGAGCTGGTGGCCTGGTTTTGTTGGGATCGAACGCAGGCCATGAGCAGAGTTTTGACTGCAGGACTGCAGTTTAACCACTGCGCCGGGAGGTACATTGCTGAAGGAGGGGGGATGAGGAAGAGATTTAAACACTGCAAGTGAAGGGAAAATTTAGGGTATAGCCAGAATATGTATATAATTTTAAGTGTGCCATCCAGCTGTCGTCTTTGATGGCACCCACGCAGCCAAGCCCATGACATGACTGGGTGGAGTTACATGGAATCTGAATTATTTTATTTTATTTTATTCTCCTCCCCCTCCAAGGAGAACCGAATTTCAAAACCACAGAATGATGGATGGGAGCAAGAGGAAACAAGTCTCCAAGAGGCCATGGCTAGCATTAAATTAACTGAAAAGGCATTGTAAGACAAAGGAACATAGGCAGCTATCTCATCCTAAATCAGATGCTTGGCCGATCTAAGCCCACATTACCAACTCTGACCGCAGCAGCTGT